TTAATATATTTTTAAATAAAAATATATATTAAAAATCTTTTGGTTTCGTATAACGCCACTGAGAGGCACAAATCAAGTTAATTCAGAGTTATTTTTACTCTTCGTTCTTCTTTGATGTGATGGTGCTAATTAATTTCAGTGTCTTTCACTTTGCCTGATATCAATCAAATTTATGATATATAATTATTTGATATAACATGGATATATTATCGAGCTCGATGCATGTAAAATATTTTTATTTTACAAATCATTAAAAACCTGATTAAGGAAATCAAGCCTGACAAGATCAGTTTCTTACCTAATTTATTACAGTTTTTTAAATTAACCAGCATTAATAAAACAATGAACCAGAAGCCATCACTCTTTTGTTTGATTAGGAAGTTTCGGGAACCGAGTGTAAATTATATTTTTTTTTTAAATTAATTTTTTTATATATTTTAAATTGTTTTAATATGTTGGTTTAAAAAATAATTTTTTAAAAATAAAAAAAATATTATTTTAATATAAATATTTTTTAAAAAATAACCTCATTCACCTTTCCAAACTTTACAGACTAAAGTGGCTACGCCCGAGGGATTATTAAGAGGCTGCTTGTTTGGACCTACTGCTTAATGATGGTCTAATTTGACAGCTACTGAGGGAACCCGAAGCCATCACACTTTTATGCAGCACGTTTTTAATTTTATTTATTTATTTCACTTCTTCGTTATGTTTAACATGCTGTTTAGAATTTAAAAAATATATATTTTAAATTAATTTTTTCTATATTTTTGAAATATTTTAATTTATTAATATCAAAAATAATTTTTTTAAAATAAAAAATATTATTTTAATACATTTTCTATATAAAAAAAATCTAAAAATTAACTCTTATCATATTCATAAATACCCTTTAATGTTTAGACGGTGGCTGCTTGCATATCATTGCTTATTAAAATTTAATAAAACTTCCCATCTAATTTTTTATTAAAAAAAAAAAAACTCTCAATCTCTGCCCCCACCCTACACCTCCCACCCTACACTTCCGTTACTTTAAAAAAAAAAAAAAATCTTTTGTAAATACATTTGATCCGGATACATATGAATCTAGATATTTATTTTTTGTTAATTATATTTTTTATTTTAGTTCTTTGTATACATTATCTCTTGATGTGTGCATCCTTTTGGATTAATTTCAATTTGCCCCTTGGATGATTAGAAGCTTTCCTTTTGTACTTTCCATTAAATAAATGTCTCTCTCTTTTCTTTTTCTTTTTTCCAAATTAATGCATACTAGAGAGCCTCCCTTATGAATTCTGAAGGAAAAAGAATGTTTCAATCCCTCAGGTTTTGAAATATGATCCAATAGCACCCTCATAAGTATATATTAAAAATAAAAACAAGAATTTATAGATATTGAGATTAATTAATTCCCTTAACAAAATTATAAAGAATATGCTTTAAGATCAAACAATTTCATCAAATTGAGTATAATTGTATGTGTGATAGCAACTACTATACCGAGAACATCAATGAACCCCATTATTAAAATTGCTCAAAATATCTATTTTTAGCTTCTAGAATTAATTAACGCAAAATCTCCTACACACAATACATCATAGGGATAATAGAGGTGTTTGAGAGTAAATTAAATAACAATTAATTTTTAAAATATTTTTTATTTAAAAACAAATCAAAATAAAAATTTTAAAAATTAATTTTTTATAAAACATAGTTAGAAACATAATTACTAAATGAAGATGACTTGAGTGTACAATTAAGCAAGACCTCTGCTGCCAAACCAAAACAGAAATCCTGGGAAATAAATCGTAAATGCAGCAGATGTCTTCCAATGAAGTTGATGACTCTATATATAAAAAGCTACTCAAATAGGCAGAAGACCTTCGTCGATGTAATTTGCCTTTCTTGGCCACTACATGATTCACATCAGAAGCCTTGACAAGGACTTTGAATATTGTCTCTTTCATTCCTAATATTCCCTTTCGAATTCAGTGTCTTCCACTAGCCAGCCAGCCAGACAGCCAGCCAGCCAGCCAGGCCCTCCAGCAGCCCTTCTCTCTTCCAAGCAACATAGCAACAAAAAGGGCAGACAACAGTGTAGATAATGCTAATATATTGCTTCATCGCTAACAACTCATGTCCTTTTTTTCAATACTTAACACAGAAACTAAAGGTAGACTTTTAGAGGTGATGCATTACACGGCATTGATTTCCCAGGAGTGAGAGAGAGCTGGGAATTAGGTGCCATTAATTTCAAAGAATTCGCAACATGTTCGTATACCCATTTTCTCTATCTCTCAGAATGAGAGTTGTTCCGTTCATATTTTATTAAACCCCATTTGGAGGTTTGAATGAGAATGAGAGTTGTTCAGTTCATATTTATTAAACCCCATTTGGAGGTTTGAATGGGGGGTGAGCTCTCATCATGGTCGGCGAGGTTAACTAATTAATTGCTTTAAAAAAAATTAAAATGATGCAAGAAATACAAAATATAAATAGGGTTTTGCTCGGATTCATGGGTCAAATCCGAGTTTTTAACCGGAGCAACTCCTTCTTTGTGGATCGATCGTGAAACCCAAACCGGGTCGACCGAGTCCTAAACACACCTGCAGTGCCGGGCTGGTTTCGTATCCATGGTTTGATTTACAAGCAAGAAGATGTTCCATAAATGCTTCGTTGAATGGGCTAGTAAACTTGCTGGTTAGTTGATCATTTGTCATGAGCAAGAAAAGGAATTCATTAGGTCAAATTAATAAATATACATGTGGTAGATTTTTCATTATTATCATGCTGAATAATTTTTGACAGCTGTGTGCATGAACTGGGATGACTCTAAAGACGATGACTTTTATGCAAATGGCCTCTCGAGGACGGTCGGCCGATGAAATGGAAACTAGATATGCCATGCTCCATGTGCTTACCATATGTAACCATACTACTCTGCCGTAGACTTCCTCTAGTTTAAGAATTTTAATGGAAATAATTCATGCTGATGATGGTAAATGTCCCATCAAATAAATAAAATCATTCAATTTTGTCTTTTGAATAATAATAGTTTCTAACATTTTTTTTCCGTTATGATTTAGGTTTGGAGTCTTTTTATTATTATTTTATTGATAATGTATTCATTCCATTATTTTCTCCTTCGTTCATCAATAAATACCATTTCTTCATAGCAGATAAATATTATAAAAACGAGTTTGTTTTTATGTTTTAAAATTATTTAAAAAAAAAATTAAATTTATTTTACCTTTTCTTTACTCCAATATATATATGTTATTTTTTTTTTCATAATCACATGACGCTTAGATTTGATGAAAGGACTACATTGTTAATAAAAAAAATTAGGTTCAAAACCAAAAAAAAAAAAAAAGAACCAATCTTCTTTTGTTGGTAAAAAATTCAAGAACAATTTTTAACTAATTAGCCTAATAAAAATACCATGAAATTTTATATACCTTTAACTAACCTTATCTAAAACAAAAACCAAATTGATTAAAGCTAATCAAGGGACAGCCTCAATCACTCTTCTTGCCAGGTCGTTTTCAGGAAAGCAAGGGGACATGCAGATGTCTAAAGCAAGAAATATTTGGCTTCCACTATCATTATTTCTTGCACAAAATGAAACTGCACTCAGAAATCAGAATAATTAACCATATTCTCTTTTACAGCTTATAACATGCTTGTTTCGGCTGTGTTTGCACCGGGAGTTTCAGGAAATTTTGAGTTTTGTCTTTTTTTAATTGTTTTTTTATATTTTTAGATAATTGTGATGTCATATTTTTAAAAATAAAAAAAAATATTATTTTGGATGTCATATTATTAAAAATAAAAAAAATATTATTTTAATAAAGAAAAACAGTTTAGAAACCTACTTCAACCCCACTCAAGCATGCCTGCGTCTCTCTCTTCCTTCTTTCTTTTTTGTCCCCTCTCCATGGTGCGTTGCTCAAAATACCCACAAAAGCTGCACTAGCACTTATAGCGATCCACAACTCATAATTGAGAAATCACATGCAATATTGATTAAAACATGGCATCCAAATAAAAATATAGAAAAAAAAAGTAAGCATTTCGTTCGTGAAGAGAAGTTGCTTGTGATGTACCCTATTAACGTGCATCGTTGAAGAATCAGGAGAGGTTTGCAATCGACAAAGCCATGACAGACAGTAACGTGAACATCTTGCCTTCTTTGACTCTTCTCATTTCTCTCATAAATCCTTAATTAATATGGCATTGTTCTCTTCAAGATCCTAGTTTCTTTTTCCAAAATAGCACATCATGGATAAAGTTTCGAGAAATTACACAGTTTTAAAAATATTTAAAGAATTTCCACAGCTCAGTCCATGAACCTGGACTGCTTTCTTGAAGTATTTTTGGACTGTAAGGGTTCCTCATTTGGGATTGTGCTATTTCGAGAGAGAAACAACAAGAAAAACCCACGATCTTTCAAATAATAATAATAATAATAAAGAAAGATGGCTAGAAATTAGTAAGTGGTTGAGCATCTTCTCGTAAGAATGTGAAAGGGAAAGGCTAGGAACCAGGTCGTGATTTTTTGAGTGTGAGGGCTGGAAGCATATAGGAGCTGCCACCTGCCTTCTTTGACAACTGTTAGAGGAAGAACAATATTTTATAAGTGATCTTCCCAAAGCACTAATAATCAAATTTGGAATTCAAAAATATGGAAAGCTTATGAATCATAAGGTGATGGGAGGTCAGCAGTAAATAAATGAACAGGGGAGGGGAGTGGAATTAATAAAAAACGACTTGAAATAGAGAATTAAATCATTGATTAAATGATTAGTTAGATATTAGTTCACAACGAATAGAGGAATCCAAGAGCACAAAACGGTGTTTGATTTTTAAAAAAGAAAAATAGCATGGAAGGTCAGCTTGAAAACCCCATTTGCAAGATTAATCTAAAGACCAATTCGTACTGGTCCATGATGATAGCTCTCCTTCAACGACCGTAATTGCTATATATACTATGTGTTTCATGCATGCTTTCTCATCAAAAGAAAACAGAAGCACGAGTTTTTCCCTCACCTTCTCTTAATCCAATAAGAAAGAAAGGGTGGTGTGAAAGTCCAACACATTGCCGATAGTTGGTGGGATTCAGGGGAAGGAATGACAGGTTCTAGTGGCGGCCCCCTTAGGGGTCGTCTGTGGCCTCAATTGGCAGTGGCATTGACTATTCTCTTTGTTGCAAGCAATGTAGGTTCAGTCTCAGGAGATGCTTATGTTTACAGTTCTCCACATATATGTACAAGTCTCCACCACCTCCATCCCCATCTCCCCCTCCACCATACATGTATAAATCCCCACCACAGTTCTCCACCTCCACCACCGTATATATACAAGTCTCCACCACCTCCTTCACCTTCTCCACCACCTCCTTATGAGTATAAGTCACCACCCCCTCCTTCTCCATCCCCACCACCACCATACATGTACAAGTCACCACCTCCTCCATCACCTTCTCCACCACCTCCTTATGAGTATAAGTCACCACCCCCTCCTTCTCCATCCCCACCACCTCCTTATGTGTACAAGTCACCACCTCCTCCATCACCTTCTCCACCACCTCCTTATGAGTATATCCCCATCTCCACCTCCACCATACATGTATAAATCCCCACCACCACCCTCTCCATCCCCACCACCACCATACATGTACAAGTCACCACCACCACCCTCTCCATCTCCACCACCACCTTATGTTTACAAGTCACCTCCTCCACCTTCACCATCACCACCTCCACCATACATATATAAATCCCCTCCACCCCCTTCTCCATCACCACCACCTCCCTACTACTATAAGTCACCTCCACCCCCAGTACATTCTCCTCCTCCACCATATTATTACGAGTCACCACCACCACCTTCTCCCTCACCACCCCCACCATATTATTACAAGTCTCCACCACCACCCAAAAAATCACCACCTCCACCATATTACTATAAGTCACCACCTCCTCCCTCACCACCACCACCACCACCACCATATTACTATAAGTCACCACCTCCTCCCTCACCATCACCACCCCCACCATACTACTACAAGTCCCCACCTCCACCTAAACATTCACCACCCCCACCTTATTACTACAAGTCACCACCACCACCCTCACCATCTCCTCCTCCTCCATACTACTACAAGTCTCCACCTCCTCCTTCACCGTCTCCTCCACCACCATACTATTATAAATCTCCTCCGCCACCTTCTAAATCTCCTCCACCTCCTTATTACTACAAGTCTCCCCCACCTCCAACTAAGTCTCCACCTCCTCCAACACCATACTACTATAAATCCCCACCACCACCTTCACATCCTTTACCACCACCCTATTATTACAAATCTCCACCACCACCTAAAGCTTTACCTCCTCCATACCACTACATTTCTCCACCTCCACCTGTCATTTACCCTCACCCCCACCACCATGATTTAATAGTCAAAGTGGTAGGAAAGGTTTATTGCTACCGATGCTATGACTGGAAATATCCAATGAAGTCACATAATAAAAAGCATCTAAAAGGTACATTTTTTTTAAAATTGATTAAGCTTTAGTAATATTTTTCCTTAAATTTTCACATGCATCCCCATCTTCCTTTTCATGATTTTGAATATTATGCATATATTTTTCATGTTTCTAATTTATAGAAATGTCTCTAAGTTATATAATTAATCCATTTTCCAAACAATAATATTAGTGCTTGATAGCGACTAACTTATTAGGCATATAACTTGATTACGTATATTAATTATTAAAAGGATCCTAATTCTAATTAATTATTTTATTTAAATTAACACCAATGCACTCATACAAATTAATTTGAACATTCATGTTTGAATTTCCAATCCTAATAAGGAATTGTGATACCTTTACTAAGAATAAATGTAGTTATTAGAAAGAACCAGGAATATTATTATTTATTTTAGTTTGATTTGCACAATAAACTTGCTGCTATTGTGTTAGTAATGACACTACATGCTCATTTTTTTTGTTGTACATGGAATAGGCGCCGTGGTGGAGGTAACATGCAAAGCAGGTACAAAGAAGGTCAAGGCTTATGGTAAAACCAAGATCAATGGAAAATACAGCATTACAGTGAAAGGTTTCAATTATAGAAAATATGGAGGCAAGGCATGCAAGGCCAAGCTTCACATGGCACCAAAGGGTTCACCATGCAACATCCCAACTAAACTACATTGGGGTAACAAGGGTGCCTCTCTAAAGGTGAAGTCCAAGACAAAATATGAAGTTGTGCTCTCAGCTAAACCATTTGCTTATGCTCCTAAGACCCCTTACAAGAAGTGTCACAAATACAAGCCCACTCCTGCTCCATACTACTACAAGTCACCTCCACCTCCTCCTTCAACTTACATTTATAAGTCACCACCACCTCCACCATATCTTTACAAGTCACCCCCTCCACCATCATATATCTATAAATCACCACCACCACCAACTCATTCCCCACCACCACCATATTACTATAAATCACCACCACCTCCCTCACCATCTCCACCACCTCCATACTATTATAAATCTCCACCACCACCATCTCCATCACCACCACCACCCTACTACTACAAATCACCTCCACCTCCAGTTCACTTTCCTCCCCCACCATACTACTACAAGTCACCCCCTCCACCATCACCATCTCCTCCCCCACCCTACTACTACAAGTCACCACCTCCACCATCCCCTTCTCCTCCACCTCCATACTACTACAAATCCCCTCCACCACCCGATCCTTCACCACCACCTCCATACCACTACAAGCCCCCACCA